GTGTTCCCTCCCCGTCATTGCAATCGTCGGCTTCCTCTCCGCCTCCGACATCGTCGTCGGCTTCCTCTCCGCCTCCGGGATCGTCGGCGTCCTCTCCGACAGCTGCACATCTGACGACTTCTGCAGGTAAACTTTCAATCGTCTCTCTTTCTCCTAATATGTAATCTTTTCTCTATGTAATCGTTCTTCTGCTATGTAATCTTTTCTCTGCATAATCAGAAGGTTTGTATATTTTATCTGCAAGTCACGATGAAATCAAACCCTTAAATGTTGATGAAATCTATAATATGATGTTATTGTTTAATATGCTTGAAATCTGATGTTTGATAAATCATAAAATTGTTTGATATGCTTGAAATCGGTTTAGGTTTTTTTTTTTTTTTTTTTTTTTTTTGTCTTTATGTTGAATACGATTGATGAAATTGATAGTTTATACTCTGTTTTATGTCTACGCAAAAGTGAAGTTTAAGGCAGCAATAGTTAACGACAATGAGGTATGTGTAAAGATTCAACCATTGGAGTTTTTCCTTTTCTCAAAAACTTTTTTACCCTTTATGCGACTCATGCTTTACAGAGATTTTAACATTTGTTGCGAGTTTTTAATAAGCGAATCGAATTTTTATTTGCTTAATCAAGATTACGTATAATTTATGTATGTTCTGCAAACTTTTAATTCAACGATTCCAATAGACGTGTGTTATGAACTTTGATTATTATATCTTTTGCTAATGGGCAATTTCTTGCTGAAATTGATGATTTCTATTGATTTGTGCTGAAAAGTTTTGGTTAATTTTTTGTTGATAAAAGAGTGATAAATTGTATGGTTGTTTCTTAAGTATGCAGAAAATAGGTCTTTGGTTCACTAGTTGCACCATGGATTGAAAGAAGTATTTTTTTATTTGGCTATTGTATGTTGTTTTATGTTGGATTGAAAGAAATGAATTTAGGAGAATTTATGTTTAATTTGGTTATATTGTATGATTTTTATGTTACAATTCAGGTACGTCGCTATTCTTCTTTCTTCCTTATTTGTTTCTGAAAATCGTTTTTTTTTTGCTATTCTTCTTTCTTCCTTCTTCTGAAACCGATTTCTTGCTGGGAGTAAATTTCACAGCAGCTCTTTCTTCCTTCTTCTGAAACCGATTTCTTCCTTATTTGTTATTTGCTCCTGATTTCTTAACCTTCCCTTCGTGAGTAAATTTCACAGCATTTCTTCCTTCATTTATACATACATGGAATATGTAATCTTTCATGTATAAATAAATAATTCATTTGGGAGATATGCATTTATCTTGTGTTAAGAAACGTAGTAGTAATAATTTGCCGAATTCGTAGAACATCACCAATAACCTGAAAATGAGTTATGATGTTAATGTATAATTACTTATTTGCCCTTTATATATAATCATTTCAAATAAACAGAGATGTAATAAATTTTTTTGTATAGCATCATAAATTAACGATTTTTCATGTGCATACACTTCCAAATAGAAATTACTAAGCGTAAAGGGTAAATATGTCAAAAAGAACTTGCCTCAATAGGGACATCATATGCTACATTTCCTCTACAAGAAAATAGATTGCATATAACTTTAATAACCATAAAAAAAAATAAGAGAACGTATAAGAAGTAACAATGTACTTTTATTTATTTTTGAAATCATATATGCTCTTGTTGTTATTAGGAAATGTGCATTATATGTTGATGTTATACGCTGAGTTTGATGTTAAATGAACGAATCCTAATGTTTTCAATGGACATAATGAAATGTTGTTATTAGGATTATATGTTGATGTTATGTGCATTTGTAATGCATTATATGTTGATGTTATGTGTATTTGTAATGCATAACTTGTTGCTAAAATATGCATTTTTTTTTGTTGAATTGATCAAAGAAATGGGAGAAAAGAAGGATAGGATTAGTTGGAAGGTAGAAGGTGTAGAGAAAACATTTCTTGAAGCTTGTTTACGTGAAGTTACGATCAATGGACGGGAAGGGAGTAGTTTGAAAGCACTTTCTTGGAGAAATGTAGCCGAAACACTAAAAATTGAACATAACTTTATTGCCGACCAAAAACAAATGAAGAACCGTTATGACTACCTAAAGTCAAAGTTTGGTGCTTTTTTGAAGTTAAAAAACAAAACCGGTAATGTGTACAATTCAACAACCAACACCTTTAATCTTTCCAAAGAAGAATGGGAACTAGAAGCGAAGGTATTTTGTTAATTTATAAAAAATTGATTTTCATGTTTTTAAATAATAAAATATTTTTTTCCAAACAGTCAAACAAACATGTGGATTCTTTGAGACGCACACCATTACCGTATCCCGACCTTTGCACACAGTTGTTTGAAGGCGCGACTGCGACAGGCATGCATAGTTGGGGACCAACTTCTACCCTTCCCCGTCCTACTCAAGACTCAAGCCACTATAGTTTGCATGACTTTTATGACATCGATTGCACTCAACAAGAAACTGTAGGTCTCAGTGACGAGTCATCCGCTCAATCAAAAAAACAAAAGACTACAGATACGGCAAAGAGTCAAAATAAAAGTAAAGACAAGGGTAAAGATAAGGGTAAAGATGCATCCAACTCAAGATTGCTTGAAATCGGTGAAGATATTGCCACAGTTGCTAAAATATTTGTGGAAAAGCATTCTTCTTCAAATTTGGATGCGTGTATGGAAAAATTGGAGAAATTAGGATGGGGAATATTTGATCCAAGATACACTACTGCTGTTGCTCTTTTTGGTGAAAGTGCGGATAAGAGGCACGTGTGGTTAACCATTGATCCAGCTATTTGTGAGAATTGGGTCAAGACCGTTGGAGCACATTACGGAATGTTTCGCTAAGTAGATTTTTTGAATGTTTTGATGGTTTTTTTTGGATAACTAGATGTTTGGTTTGAACTAGATGGCTCTTTTTTGGATTACTTGACATTAATGACTTGATGTTTTGGATTACTTGATGTTTTGGATTATTTGATATTAATGGCTTGATGAATTTTTATATTATATGTTGTTAATATAATTGTTATGTATTTTCAAAATAACAGATTGCTTATGGATTCGGATGAAGAAATTGCATTTTTCATGTTACTATGTTGCTATTGGTTGAATCTAGCATTCAACAGAATTGGAAGGGCAATTGATAATGATTCGGAAATGAGTGGTCATCAACATACACAAGAATTGTTACATGGAACTTCTACACAATGTAAAGACTTGATGCGTCTTTCACGTGAAGCATATGTACTTTTATGCAATCATTTTAGACGAAATAATTGGTTGCAAAGTAGTAGGCATATAAGCGTTGAAGAAAAGATGGCTATGTTCTTAACTACTATAGCACATAATAAACGGTTCAGGATTATCAAACGAAGGTTTCAACACTCCACAGAAACAGTTCATAGATGCTTTCATGAGGTGCTAAATGCAATGATGATTTTTGCAAAAGAAGTTATAGTGCCAACGAATTCTAATGCAACTGTGAATTCCTCAGAGAGGCATCGTAAGCTAAAAGAAATCTTTCCTGGAGCAATAGGTGCGCTAGATGGAACTCTTGTACATGCAGTTGTGCCTGCTGATCAACAAACTCGCTATAGGGGAAGAGGAAAAGGTGAATGCTTTCAAAATGTTTTAGGAATTTGTGATTTTGATATGATGTTCACATTCGTATGGGCCGGTTGGGAGGGTATAACACATGATTCGCGAGTTTTGAAAGAAGTTGCATGTAACCCGACTTCAGGCTTTCCGTTCCCTCCTCCAGGTTTTTAATTCTTTTTAAGATTATTCTAAAATACGATATTAAATTTCTATATATAATACTTCCTTTACTCATGTGTACAGATAAATATTACCTTTGCGATGCTGCATACACCAACACTCGTGGATTTATGACTCCTTATCGCAACACGAGGTATTGGTTAGCCGACTATCGACGGCGACGTCCGTTAACTAAGGAAGAAAAATTCAATCATGCACATGCGCAACTCAGAAATGTTATTGAACGTGCTTACGGTGTTTTGAAGGCGAGATTCCCAATTCTAAAGCGAATGGCTCCTTTTCCTTTTTCAGTGCAAAGAGATATAGTCGTTGCTTGTTTTGCAGTCCACAATTTCATAAGGAAATGCGATATTCATGATGAGTTATTTATGGCGTTCGAGGAGAACAATGCTCAACCACAAGGGGGACAAAATGATGTCGAAAACGTACACGATATGGAATGGGGTTCACAAGGAAATGAATACATGGATAATTTACGTGACCAGATTGCGAATCAATTGGGATGAAATTAGATTTGTAGGATTTTATTTGGATTTTAGTATGATATTGTGGATTTAAAAATATTTATGTTTGATTTGGATTTGTGTTTAATTTTGATTTATGCTAAATTTGAATTTTATATGGTGTTTATATATTTTTTAATACATAATTAAGAATTTTTATTAGGTTATTTTCTAAATAAACAGATGAATTTAATTAAAAAAATAAAACAGAAGGGTAAAATGGTCATTTTAATAATTCAGCAGAACAATTCAGAGGTCCCAACCAAACAGCATGTTAAACATTCAGCTCTTAAAATTTCAGACCCTCTTAAAAATTCAGACCTCTTAAAAATTCAGATCTTAAAAATTCAGATCCTGCCAAACAGCCCCTTAGTTTTATAAAAAAAGATTTAAAAAAAATCAAAAAAACCAAATTCCCAAATTAAACATAATATCGCTAAAACAAATTAAATGTGTGTTCATGCCTTCATGGCATCTTATTGATTATCACTTTATCAGCACACGGATCGCGATCAATACCCTTTCCCATCGTCGATTTATTTTCAATCCAACGGGGAAAAAGATCGCACGAACCTCTAAAATTTCAAAACTTGCCGCCATCAAACCCATTATAAAAACACTTGCACAACGCCACATACACCCATCGAACTGTTTCCACCTCCAAATCTTTCTGTTCTCTTCCGATTTCCAGCCTCCCACTGAATACCAAAATGGCTCGTACTAAGCAGACAGCAAGGAAATCCACCGGAGGAAAGGCTCCAAGGAAGCAGCTGGCCACCAAAGCAGCAAGAAAGTCGGCTCCGGCGACCGGAGGGGTGAAGAAGCCACACAGATTCAGGCCAGGAACCGTAGCTCTTCGAGAAATCAGAAAGTATCAGAAGAGCACTGAGTTGTTGATCAGGAAGCTGCCGTTTCAGAGGCTTGTGAGGGAAATCGCTCAGGATTTCAAGACGGATCTTCGATTTCAGAGCTCTGCTGTTGCTGCACTACAGGAGGCATCTGAGGCGTACCTAGTTGGATTGTTTGAGGATACGAACTTATGCGCGATTCATGCTAAGAGAGTCACTATTATGCCTAAGGATATGCAACTCGCTCGTAGGATCCGTGGTGAGAGAGCTTAAGCTTCTGATCTGGTTTGGCTTGTTGAAGGTCTTGTTTTGGGTTAATTTCGTACACTATTTCTGTTACATGATCATCGTTAGGTTATCTGATTTTTATCTATGTTTTTGTGTAAATTGATGTATGTCGATTGTTTTTGATATGTTATTCAAATGGAGAATCGATTTTCATGTTATTGGATTATTAGTCTTACTGCTTGTTCTACAGCTGATATCCAAGTTTCAATTCTCTTTTTTGTTTAATTTTCACGTTCATAGAGAACTTTAAAACTTTACAGTTTTCCAGAAATCTTTGGCTTATTCTAAGGAATCATTTAGAATGTGGCGATTTTGAATAAGAATGCATACGGATTCTTTTAGGACGCTAACTCCAGTGCATTTGGACTTTGTAGACAATACTATTATTCTAAAAAACTTCAAATTTTAATCGGTATGAATGGATTTAGAATTTAGGGTTATTGTCTTTCACAAAAAGGACAGAAATAGAACCTGTCTGAAACAAGACACGTCCCAAAAAACAATAGACCAAGACCATCTCGGCTGGTCAGACAAAAGAATGAGCTGTTTCACTACCTTCTCAAAAAGGCCCAATAGCTAATGTTTATATTACATATTCTTTTGTTGATTTCACATTTTAATTTAATGCTTTAACTTTTTGTTCTTTTATTAAATTTTAATATATTGTTTTGAGCAATATAGTCACATTTTGGGGACAACACATTTGTCAATTGAAAAACATGAAACTGAAATATCTAACTTGAACTGTAAAAACCAAAATCAAACCGAAAAAGGAGATAACAAAAATCACAAGTCCGGAACATTTGAAGAGTGAAAACTGGTTTAAAAAAAAACCAAATTGTTTCGAGACTTACTTGAGATTAGTCTGAGACTACCAATTGTGCATCTCTATAGTGATTCACGGCAGTTTATGAGAATAGATGTGTAATATCTTTTTAAATGTATGTGTAATGTATTCAAGTTCCTTTTAGGAACCTGAGAGTTGATATTATCAAGTATAGAGGAACTATGAATGCTTATTGTTGAGTAAATAACAACCAACATGCATACCAAAACAACGATTAATAGGTGCACGATAAATAAACATATTATTAATAAGCCTCTTTATAATCTTTCTTTCTAGCTTTATAAACTTAAACAACTTTATATTCTAAACCCATCTCTTATGAGAACCCGAAACTCTAGATTTTGTTGTACCACTTTTTCTACTCTTAAAATCTCCAGAACCAGATCCCGAATTACTCTGTTGATTCATAGACTTCTCTTTTAAAGGACTTACTGGCCTTGGAGGCTTTTGGATCAATTTCTCAGAGAATTTTCGTTCATTTTTCTCTTTTCCTCTTGAACTATTACAATCTCTTTGTACATTTTCATTCTTCACATTAGGAACTTGTTTTTCATTTTTCAGCAAAAAAACTGGTTTTATCTTTTTGGTGGAGCAATCTGAATCTGAAGATGAAGGACTTGTAGTGCTATCCATGTCATAAACCAGATTGTCTGTCATGGCTGGAAGCTTTTTTGAGCTTGAATTTGACTTAGAAGTAGAAGATCTCCTAAGTCTTGTGAGGTGAATTACCTACAAAAGATTAATAAATATTATTAAAATGACAGAATATAAAATCCCATATACAAAAGATGTCCACATAATCGATACCTTTTGTTCAAGAACCACCATGTCCTTCCTAAGCTTTGTGATAATCACGTTTTTATGGCGGATAATGTCTTCCAGCTCTGAAATTCTCTGTTTTATACAAGAAAAAGAAACATTGATAACATAAATTGTAAGAAATTAGAAGAAAAAAATTTGGATTTACGATTTAACTGCAAATAGTTTAAAGAAATATATACCTTCGAACCGAAAGATTCTGTTGTGTGAATAAAAGCGGACAACTCATTGATTAACGCATCCTTGTCTTCAAATTCCTCTCTGTTGTTGCAAAAATCTTGTTCGATTGATGAAGTATTCCACTGTATAAGTTACGGGAAAAAATATGATTAGTGTTAACAAATTAAATAACTAAAAATAGTTATTGTTGGGACATGGTGTCAGAGATAACTAAAAAGCAAAAACGCGTCTAAATTGATCACAATAATATACGTGGAAACTCCAAAACCAGAGAAAAACTACGGATGACAAAAGTGAGAAACTCACTGACATAGACTAATCTCTCAAGCCACCCCCAATTAGACCCAAAGTCACCATAAAAATCTCAAAACATTTATTTCTTTTGTATCTACCTGAGCATCTAGTGTGGAACTGACACTAGGAGCCCAGTCTGACAAATCAGACATACGGCGTTCTTCTGGTTCCATCTCAATCTGAGAAGGTATCTTACACTTGATCATGTCTTCATCATCCACAGATTTTATAATAGAGTTAGAATCTGCCTGAATTATAAGAAAAGCAAAAAAATACCATCAACAAAAACTATTTTGAAAGCAACAAAGCATATGGAAGGAGTTATTGAAGAACAAAATTGTCTTTACTTCTATAGATTCTGATGGAAGTTGATGATGATCACATAGGCGACATCCACAGCTTGAAAACTTGAAATTATGGGAGGAAGTATCAGGCTGATCCTTGAAATAATTCACCTGCTCACATAAATTCTCAAGTTTTTGTTGCATGCTTAAAAGCACCTGATCCTGAAAACAGTTTGAGACGAAAATGAAGCATTGAATCTTTGATAATAGGTTGTTAACTCATAGAATAGAAATAAAATCTGTTTAAATTCAACATTGAAAGTTCATAATTGGGAATTTAATACTCGAATTTGAAATTCAAGAGTTTCACTTGTATATAGGGAAGTGTAATACTGCAGATTTAAAGCTCATAAAGCCTAAAATCCACTGATTACAAATGAATGATTCCTAGTTCCTATTCATTTAATGAACCCTAAAGGCAGGTGAGTTCAACTCAAAACCTAATTCAGTGCAAAATTGAGAACAAGATCATATTTTAGAAAACGAATGCTTCCGATTCAAGATCTAATCGACAAATAAACACTGGATATATTTGTTTAATGTAGAAGAAATAAGAGCATAGTAACGTATGTAGAGGCAAAATTCTGGAAGTATAAATAAATTGATTGAGAATTTAGAATACGAACCCTAATTTCAACAGATTTAGTGAGTTGGATAATCTGTTTGTTCTTCTTCGAATTGGCAGCAGCAACTGCAATGATGGCGACAATCAGAACCCGATGCATAGGACTAAAGAGCTCCCACGCAATAGCTTCATCGGGGCTCAATCCACCTCCAATGGCTTTCGATGAGCTTGCTTCTTCGGCTCCGACGATCCGACCCTGTAGAGACACCCAAGCTAGCTGTTTCGCCGCCCGTACTGGTTGTGTCGGAGGGGTGAAATTGCTTGAGAGTCGGCGAGGGGATGGGGAAACTTGAGAAGGAAATGGTGAGAGAGAAATCCATGGCGGCGGAGGCGGCGCGTAAGAGGACGCTCTGAAGTTAATTTCATCGTCGGCGTCTTCCATGGCGGTGGAAAGAGGTGATTGAATAGTGAATACAGCGGTTTACGGCTGTCCAGTTTTCCGGTTTGGATATGTATTTAAATTTTGAACAAATGAATTATGAGAGGGAATATTATTACACTTTGTTTTTTAGCTAGCCGTTGGGTTCTTCAAATAAAATTATTTTCTTACCAAATATTCATATTCTTGAATAAAAGTAATATATATTTATAATAGTATATTAATATTAATTATAATTGTAAAAATATTTTATTTTTTCTTGAATAAAAAATATTTATAAAGTTTATTGCATTATAACACATTGCCTACGATTTTTAGTTGATATATAATGTTTGATTGGCTTGAGATAAATTATAGGTTATAATTGATCAAGTTTAATTAATTTAGTCAAACTGTAAATTTAAAGGTATAATCAAATCTGCAATAAAAAAATAGCAATTCATAATTAAGAAGAAAAACAAATTGAAGCTAAAACAAAGATAGTTTAGTTTAATTATATTATATTTGAGATACCTATTTTTCAAATTAATACTTATTGTAAATTTATAACCTAATAAAAATTGAGGGATCTAGTTGATTATTGATTCTGCAAAATAACATTTAAATTGACATAGTTGGTAAGTTTATATATATATATATATATATATATATATATATATATATATATATATATATATATATATATATATATATATATATATATATATATATATATATATATATATAAAAGTATGTTATATTTTTATATAATATTCTCCGATTCAAAATATTTTTAAAATTTTAAGATCACAATAAACATTGGTTTTACTTATTGATGTCATGACTCATGACACTTTTTGTCAATTTTTTTTTTTTTTTTTTTGGTTTCGAATAGTTACTTTTTGAAACTCATTCTAATCATATTTTACATCACAATTGTACTCATTTATATCCAAGATAAGATATAGAACTATATGTTTATATATTAAATTCCCGTAAACTAGGTATGAGACCTATGTATTACATATATTAAATAAATAAAATTAAATATCAAAATGTAAACATTAAGTATTTTTTAAAGTTAAATTTTAAAATAAAGAAGGAAAAAACATATTTATTGCAATTTATGATCATATTTATTATATTTAATATTTTACTTATATAACTATATATACTATGTAGCTTTTTAATGTTAAAATTTAAAAAAAGCTAGAATTTGACACGTGGATAATATTTATTTCAAAAATACAACAAAATAACAAGTGTTAAAACTTATAAGAGATTGACATGTAACAAAATGGATCTTTATTTATTAGAGTAGATGATCCATTGCATTCTCCGTTAAACATCAACGTACACATATACAATTACAATGCCATTTGGGCCTTACGGAATGGACTATAAATATATATATATATATATATATATATATATATATATATATATATATATATATATATATATATATATATATATATATATATATATATCAATGATACATGGGCCATAAATATAAAAATACAAACACACTAATAGTCCCCAACATTTTTATCCGAAGAAGAGCCTCATACGTTCAAAATCGACTCGAGTAGAAATCGTAGAATAGTGTCGTAAGTAGGCCTTTGGTGAAATGTTGGTGTATTGACCGGAAGGCGGGGCGTGAAGGACACACATAAAAAAAAAGAACAACTTTTTCTCAGAAAAAGTTAATATTAATCTTTATGTGTTCAGAGCGTCGGTGTTGCAGCGAGTTGTAGTAGTGGATCTATGATTTATATATAGGTTGGGCACAAAAATATATCCAAATACATTTTTTTGGGTTAGTCTAGGAATGGCAACGGGGCGGGGCATGGTTTCCCAAACCCGAACCCGATTTCTAAATACGTACCGGACCCCGACCCGATACCTGACAGGTTTCTTATCAGGATGTCCCGTTGGGGCTGAAACTTCCCCCGAACCCGACCAGAAACCCCGAAACCCGATAACTACCCGAAAACCCGACCCAAAACCCGAAATTTTGCTGAAAAAAAGGGAGAAACTACAAATACTGAATGATAAATTAAGACAGTTGCATAGGCTTAAAATACCAAATAAATTCTTAAATCATTTAACCAAATAAAAATTACTAATAGTCTAGTATTGTAACAACAACCAACCAACCAAAATACAAAGTACAAAATATGAAAAACTAATTCATCACAATAATACATTACCACTTAACATTAAAACAAACTCAAAAGCAAACAAAATCATCCAAACTTGTTGTCCCGCTTTCTTTAGTGTTTTCCTACAAAATATTAAAGAAACTCAAAATCAAACCAAATCATGGAAACTATATAAAATTAATATTCTTAGAAGTATCGTTATACCTCTTCCACATCATAATCAAATTCAACATAACGACAATATGCCTCGGTCTCTTCAGAACAAGTTGCTGTACATAAGAAAATATAAAAGCAGTTTAACAAAAATATTATTAATATGCAAAAAAGATTCATAATTTCATATAATTAATATAAAATAGTATACTACCTCGAATTTCATTCAACAACCAACTTTGAGCACACATTAAAGCCTCCAATGTATTTGGATGAAGTCGACTACGATGAGGACTTACTAATCTTCCACTAGTGCTGAAAGCTGATTCCGAGGCAATAGTGAAAACAGGAATAGCTAATATGTGACATCCCCAAAATCTCGGCCAGAAAAGACCGATTTTCATTTATGCTTTTAAAATAATTTCAGAGTAAATCCTTTTGATTTGAAAGAGTTGCGGAATTTGTTCCCAAAAACAAAACATGATAAAACAATGTTTACCAAAACATTTCATAAAAGAAATGTATTTTTCATTATATAATCAAAACTCGGGGTGTCATGTTCCGATACAGACCAATAAGCATAAACGATAACATTACAAGTCATTCAACAAATATATACATATACAGACTTGTAAACAAAACAACTTGGTGGTTCATCCATCTTACGCCCTTGCGCCACTTCCTGTAATACAAATAAAACTGAGTAGGTCAGGCTTGGGAGCCTGGTGAGCATATAGGGTTTTCAACCCACAATAAATAATTAAATTAATTATTATCAACCAACAATAACCCAGTTACCCATTCCCGTTATTCTCACTTTATGTCCCTAAAATAACTAACACAAGGGACCTAACCTAAGAATATTTTCATCGGGGTGACAACACATGCTGCGGGGGTTCCTCAACAATATAAGTCAAATAAGGCAACCATGAGGGGGATGGAATACAACGAATGAACACCCAAGTTCATTAACACCTATAGGTTATGAGCCTGCTAGCGTTCCACTGGACTGTCTAGAAAAGTCCGTGGTCGTCATCTAAATTCCGCTAGATGACTGGATCAAAACAACCACGAGGCCTCTCATCTGTTTATTACACACCAACTATCTACCCATGTTCTACCCAACATATTAGTAGATAAAAACATACATTTTTATACATATTTTCAAAACCTGTATAGCATGCTTGATCAATACATTTTCCATATAACAGATGAGGCACACACACATAACACGTATTTCATATAGAAATAATCAGATCTGTAAGATAGAAGAAAGTGAATATACATTCACACACATAACAACAAAATATACACATAACACGTATCTCGTATAAAATACTTCATAATTATACGTTAGGAGAAAGTAACAACACACTCACACATATAAACAACAATATACTTAATACACTCAAACCATACTTGTATTATTATTGCGTTTATGAAAGGTAGTATGCACTCACTTGATCAGAAGATGATCGGACAACACTACGACTTGCAAAAGTAGTAATCCTCAGGAGATCTGGATGATCTCTACAAAAATCGAACTTCTCGCGGGCAGAGCTTCGGCTCGGAAACCGCACTTCTCGGGATCTTCGGGATCTCGGGACTTGCTTCGGGACTCGGGAATATTACCGGGGCTTCGGGGTATTTCTGGCATGCAAATCGAGGCAAAACGGGAGAGAGAATGGAGAAAAATAGCAAAGAATCCGGCTGCCCTCACATCCTATTTATAGGAGGCTGGGAGCCTCAATTACGCGGTACGCCTGTACGCGGGGCGTACGGACGTCCGAAATCGTCACTGCATGCGTCATCCGAAGTGTCGACACTCTTCGCTGTACGCGGGGCATACTCGAGTACGCGAGGCGTACTCCGGATGAGCCCGGTGACTCGCCTTCGGATAAGGCCGGATTTAATAATTAAATTTAATTATTAATTATTTAATAAACTTCGGAAATTCATATCTTCTTCATACAAACTCCGTTTTCGACGTTCTTTATATCCACGCGAATGTGAGACTACGCTCTACAACTTTCGTTTAGACTCCGTCGGCTAATTTTGACTTTATTTTTATTATTTATTTTTAATAGGCCGGGACAGAAAATTTCGTTATAAATTCATAACTTCTTCGTTTGACGTCCGTTCTTACCTAACTTTTTATCGCTTTGATACTAACAACGAGATCTTCGATTCTCGTTTAGATCACTAAGGCTAAAAATCGCTCTAACGTAAATTTCACTTTTTACGTCATTCAGCGTTGTCGGTTCCGTCGCGAAACTTCGACAGGTGATAACTTCTTCGTTATAACTCGGATTTCGGCATTCTTTATATCTTCGGAAACCTTGTTTTAAATACTACAACATTATCTAAAGATATCAAGTTTATTTTACACTTAAATTTTGATGCTTATTTTTATTCTTAATTAATCAAACCACATAATTAAGCAATTAAGCACAAAACACATAATACTCAAATAATACACTTCTATTATTTCAAAACGGGTTACAAAGGTTAACCTAGACTATTACATTGCTAAAAAATGCAAGCCCAGAAACACAGGCGTTACATAATATATCTTTAACTATCCTTTGTAGTGTCGGGTATTTAATCCCATTTGTTTTCCACCATGCCAACAAATCAAGTTCCATGTCTTTAGGCAACAATTTCTCCTTCAAGTAGTTATCCAACTCACTCATACCTCCTGATTCATCATCATCTATAGTAATAGAAGCAATATCTGATAAGAGCTTTTTGAATCCAACATGATGACCGGAAGACATACTAGAACCAAATGAAGATGAACCGGGAACTGAACCATCATAAACACCTAATGTTTA